TATACATGAATATACGCACTATATACATATATATAAATATATTTATATAGATGTATAGATGTACATATATATATATATATATATGTATTTATATACATATATATATTTATATGTATATATACATATATAATAGTCAAGGGCAAACATATTATGATTTGGATATACTCACAAACACACAGTAACACGTGATTGTATACTAAGAACGGATAAAGCCTTTTCTATGCACATCAAATGATATATATATATATATATATATGAATACTAATAAGAGGAATTGTATACCTTCTTTTGTAGGTGGCAGACGAGCATGGGCTTGAAATGGAACAGCAACTCGGAGCGGCACCTAATGCGGCGGTGTCTGTTGCACAACCGACGAAGGAGCAGGAGGAAGATTTATCAGAACGACTGAAGAAACTCAGAGAAATGTCATGAAATTGATAGGAATAAAATGAAATTGAAATTATGTATTGCATCGGGTGTCGGAATTGTTGTACGTCATCTAAACATGGGTAGCTGCAAGGCAGATATATCAGACGATCTGGAGACTGGTCTGGAGAATACAACGTCATAGAGGTGCAATACTATTTATGCTACGAAGCGTGTAAGCGAAGCAGCCAATCATTGGGCCCGAAGAAATCTTTTTGTAGGTGGCAGATCGAAAATGAATGTACTTATTGGAAATATTCGGCCTTTGTACGAGATAAAGTTCTAAATATGAAAAAGACGTATTAAGGACAGCTGGAAAAGCTCGGGGTTGACTTGAGTATACGAATCTATATAAGAAGACTATTGTAGGAATGTATGAGGGTCGAGGAGCGTATTAGCAGCAGATGTATTGGTAGACACAGATAGATGGGTTAATTCAGACGTATCGATAAACACAACTTATTTAAGACTTATCGGTAGACACAAAGACTGATAGATTATTGCAGACTTATCGGTAGACTTAAAAACCGATAGACGATTGCCGCTAATAAGGCTATCTGTATCATAATTAAATCATACTGACAATGTGCGGCATAACAACGGGTGGAATAGGTACTAGTTTGTTATGAGTGTTTAAGACTGTGTCAGTGCTATGTGAGGTATAAAATGATTTGGTAATAAAGAATAGTGTTCGGTTTTTAAAGATGCGTCTACATGTGATTGTAGTCAACGTGTGGATGTGACCTACATGTGGGTGTAGTCTATCTGTAGGTGTATATCCATAAAAAGTTGATATGTGTTTTTCTGACTGATGTCATATACTTTGCCGATCGGTGTCAAATTGGTGGTGCTGTCGGTAGCCACATATTAGCTGTCAAGTGTTATGTTACAAGCATTGAGTTTTGTCCACCATATTGAGAGGTGTGAGATGGGAGCAACTATACCTTACAAATAGCAGTAGGTAAAACATGGTGGAACATGTGAGATGCCAAAGTGCCGTGAAGTCAAAACGGTAACCCCACTCGTTTTGTCGAAATAGGCAACAAATTGATGGCAAAATCAGGTATCACAGGTATCGAATTCGTGGTAAACCCAGGGTTCACATGTCTAAGGTGACGTATCAGAAGCCATTTTATTACAGCACAACTTCGAGGTCTCAGTTTGCACCCGCGGTGAAATATGAAAAAGAAACTGGTATGCAATGACATGCTTGTAGGGAGCCGACGCCAGTCAGCTCCGACTCAGCATATGTATTTACGCTCTAAGCCGAGGAGGTGTGGTGTCCAATTCGTAGACCACATGTGACATGCCACATGATGCGCAGTGGTGGCAGGCGGACTAGTGGGTTGACAAATCGAGCAGAATGTCAGTTTTTAATACCGACGAGTTCGGGAGGCGTTGCCAGGCTCCTGCCAGCAGGGTTGTTAAACGGACAAATGGACTAAACTGTCCGGGGGAAAAAGGCTGTCCATGGTATTATGACCAGTTTTTGAGGCTATACATGTGTCCCATTCGAAAAAGTTCTGTTGTCCACTGGTAAATTGAAAATCGCCTGGTACAAATTGACCCAAACCATTTGTCCATTTCAAGATTGATGCCTGTCCGTTTGTTTGGTCCATATAATGCCCTTTGTCCGGCTGTCCGTAAATGCAAATAGTTGTCCGGACAAGACTTTTCTTGTACGTTTAACAACCCTGCCTGCCAGTCTCTGTCTGCCACACCCCCTTGTCTACTTTTCCATAAAGTTAGCCAATCAGATGCTGCAATTGTAAATAGTTGGAAAGTGTCTACTCATCATTGGAAGAGAGTCAAGAGACCGACGATAATTATATTATATATTTTATAAAAAAATAAAAATGTTGGCTGTTGCAGACTTGGTCTTGGTGTTGGCACTTGGCAGTAGCTTGTAGAATGTAGAGTGCATAACTACATAAAATATGTATATTGTATTCAGTATTATGTATGTTGTTGGTGACTCTTGGTGAATGACTGAATGGTGACTGCCTGACTGGTCACTGGTGAATGGCGAGTGGCGATAACAAAAAATCTCAGCCACTCAAAGAGTCTCAGCCTCTTAGGACTCCAGCTCTCTGTGTCACGCTCTGGCAGTCTGGCACGCAGCCTCTCTCAGACGCTCTCAGTCTCTCTCTCTCTAATTGTTCCCTTTTTAAAAACAAATAGATAAATAAATACGGGAGTCTTCTAGAATCTAGACCTCTAAAGCTCTATGTAAACCTCATAACGTTTTACGTGTATTGCAAGTTGCAACGCTAAAAAAATCATGCGTTTATTTCGACCTTGACAGTGGGGATGGGATTTTTGTCAAGGAGGCATTTTGTGAGACCCTTTTTTTCGCAACGAGGTGCGAGACGGCCCTTTCGCCGAGTGCCGAGCTGGAAATAGGTCGATACGAGAAAAATGTCCTCTGCGACAATAAAAAACATCTACGACTGTCTAAGGTTCGAAATACAACGCAGGGTTATTTGTCCGTGACAAGCGACCCGTAGGGTAAATAGATAAATACATAAAACATTATAATAGTATAGTTGCAGTTATAGAGTTATACGCTATAACACATACGTAGCTATTTGACATGCATATGGGGATGCTTGTATACTATAGGGCGATGATATAAGCTTATATATGCTTGATTACGATATGTGTGTGAGTATATATGATAAATGTGTATAGGTTTACGAGTGTTGAATTAAAATGAGTGTAAAATGCACACAGAGATCACTTCATTGATGGAATCTTTAATTTCATGGATGGCATTATTGGAGGAAATATGATTGTTAGAGTTGAGATCTGTCTGTGGTGCTTGCCGTGGGTGTGCGGGCTACGCAACATTCATTGCCGGGTTTGTTCACAGATGTGTGAGGAGGCTGATAAGTCACACGTTTCTGATGCTGAATCACCGGAATTGACGGGCCAGCACATTCGGACTTTCTACGTTGCATTTCCGTTAAACCAGGGGTTGCATACATCTTTGAATGAGAATAAAACTTCATACACAATAACAGTTGGGCGCGGTTTATCAACGGATTACGTTTTTGTGTCTTATCTGACAGCTGTGAGATAGGCTACAGACCCAACGCGAGAGAAGAGATGCTGTGGGCCGTGGGGTTTATGAATATGTGATTTACCAAGCGCGTGTAGTTCCGTTGTATGAACTACACACGGCCAAAGACAATTTTCGTACTTATATTTGCCAACACGCATCTTTACACTGGCACAATGTATGTGGCTTTATGTGGGTACATATACATATACATCTCGGTAATTTTCATGTCTAGCGTTTTACTCCAATCTGTCCCCCTGGAAAAATGCGCCTTTACATTCTGGTCATTGGTCACACCCGTTAGAGGCTACGTTCGCGCGTACACGTCCTCCGTTGAGCTTAAAGTATGTATAGGTCACCTCTACCTCTACGATTATAAGAAGTGCCACCAGGGCTGTACTCGCCACTATGTACATAGGATTGGTGGGAGATACGCATACATACATCATACACTCCCCCTCTCCCCTTGTTCATTTGTTTACTTGAGCACGGGCTCTTGCTCAGATTATGTGTTTTGTGTGGGGTGGTGTGTGGCCGTCGGTTGGTTGCTGGAGTGAGAAGTGCCAGCCCGTGATGTTTGCGTATACACAGACATACACGAATACACATATCGGCACGCACAAGGTGTAGATAGATAGCTACCAGAAATACATGACACATACACATCGGCATACAAAAGGTATAGTTAGATGGTTTCCATATATATACATCGGTATACATAAGTATAGTTAGATAGTCAAGAGCGTAAGACCAAGCAAGGATAATTCTGGCGCAAATTGGTGTTTTAACATCACATGGCCGTTAACTTGGTACAGCGAACAGACACCTAACATTTACTACATATGCGACACTAAGAATATACAAGCAAACGGTGTCATTATCATTATATTATCCCATATCACACAATAGTAAACAGCTACCACACATACAAAACTGCAGGCATATACACTACACATACACTAGGCATATATAAGCCAACGGTGTCATACAAGGTATTATCATCCCATATCACACAATAGTAAACAGCTACTACACATACAACACTGTAGGCATAAACACTACACATACAACTAGGCATATACCAACAAACGGTGTCATGCACTCGTGCGTGGTATTATCATCCCGTTTGACTTGCTTGAATAAGTTTTTACGATGATTGGTCCAAAATTTGAATCTATAGATCTACCAATCAATATAGTTAAAAAAATGTATTTGATTGATTATAAAGTTGGATCTATAGATCTGCCAATCAATATAATAAAAAACTATGTTTATTGGTTAATAATTGAGTTGAATGATGACGAATACATAGTATATTCTTGATTCTGGTTGGTTATTAGAAAACTGTCCTGTTGTTTTGGCTGGCGTAGTCACTGGAGGTGTTTCACCAATCAGATTAGATAATTAATTTGCTACACGACCAGAAACAATATTATGTCGTGTATTATATTTTGTCCTGTTTTGTCCTCGACAAAAAAACCAAATAAGTGAAAAAACAAGGGTATATAAAACACTAATATTGCTTGTCACGGGCAAATAAACCGTTGAACGTTTTTTTACAATGAAGCGTGCATAACGTTAGGAGATTAGGTCTCACAAAGAGTAGGAGAGACTCTACTCTCTATGAGTAGAGTAGAGAGAGAGAGTAGAGACTTGAGAGAGACTACTCTACGAGAGAGAGAGTGAGACAAAAAAATGCCTGACCGGACCATGGACAACCGGATTTAACGCGACGTATACGCGTTTATTCTGGTCTGAGGCCGTGTCTCTTAGAAAACCAACCAAAAAAAAAGGCGTTCAATACGTTCAACTTTAACAGATTCACAACTTCACAAGCAAAAGGAGGCTATTTACGTCGAAATATGTAAATAGCAAAATTGTCGGCAACTCCGTCATGGATAATGCTATTAATGCATGGCTATGTATATCCCGTAATTCTTATCAGATGTGACATCATAGGCGATCTTTTTTTTCTCGGGCTACATACAGTCATACATACGAAAGAGTACAAAGGGTATACATACGTGTAACTTCAGATTTTTTAACACATGTGAGATGTGAAGAACTACACTTATGTTTCTGCAGTATAAGCCCCATCAACAAAATTAGCTCGTGATAAAGACTGCATATTGGCATAGCGTGTACATGTTGACAGGATGGATCCACTGTCTATGTTGACGGGCAGGGAGAAGGCTGTGAAGGCTGTCAGTAAGTTCGATATGCATTCGATCTCTAGAGTGATACAAAATACAATAGTATTTTCTAGCCCTAGTTGCTTGTTTGCATTGAAGGATCTTTCAGAGTCTTTAAGCATTTACAGTGAGCGATACGCTTATACTAATCCAGAATTATTCACACTGAAGATGGGTATATATATATATATATATTCATGCGTATATATATATATATATATATATATTCTATACATACTATTCTATTCATGCATACATACATACATACATACTATTATA